ATATCAGCAAATTCATGTTTGCTTGTCTTTAACTCGATAATTCGATGGAAACGTGGGAAAACAAAGCGTCTTTGTAAAGTAAACACTTGACCACGAGGGACGCCAATGAAAAGAATTCATTATGCTAATTATGATAATCCGACTAGCATTATCTGATAGCGTCACAGGTAACCCAGGCTCTGTGATAGTACCACAGTACGGTTCCAGTAAAATTACAGTGTTTGTATGGGGTAAAAATATCATCCTAAAATTTCTAAGAAATACTAAATACAGATCAATGAAACTTACTCTGCAGATAGTTGTTGTTGTCCTTATTGCTCCAACGAAGTTTCGTGATAATTTGCAGTAATTTGTTCAAATTCACTCTATCTACAATAATAATATACAAGGTAGGAAACACGAGGTGCCATTTTCGCCGACATGCTCTCATTCAACACAACTTTTTCCACGAAATTCGAACTCCAACGGAAAATAAACATGCCAGGATCGTAGAAATAGGATAGCAGCAGATATAGAAACCAATGAAGCTTTCCCAGATAGAGAAACGAATCCCACAGACTTGGACAAACTCGAAGAATATAATCCAAACACACCGAGAATACGCTCGCCGAATCAGCCGGGCCAGATCAACGCGCGGCCAAGAAAATGAAGCCTGGCCCGGGGGTCCAGGGGTGACCTTTCTAGGAACCGATACATCATTTGCCCAAGGCCACCCTACCCTGCTGGAAAAATACTTGATAGAAGGCAATTGTTCTTCCTAGCCAATCACTATGGCCTGTTATAAAGAGATTATTTTCCTCTCGAACTATATTCAGCTCCTCGCGCTGGTCCTCAGAAAGTTTATCAAACATCAATAGGGCAAGGTTATAAGGGCAAAGGAAAGAACAACGAAGGACGATTTACAAAACTTAAAACGAGCAAAAGATATAAGTGAATTTTGGCTCTTACCGAGGCATTTGTAGAATAGGACCAAATTCAAAGAGAGGTGTATCACGATGATTCACATATTTAACCGATAGAGCGCTCACTTGTATTGACAAGAAGTCGGCGTGTTACTTCCGCATTAATCGCTAAATATGTTAATCGCGCTAGTTCTTTGTTTACTAGTGCACGTGCCTTTCACATTCGTCTCAGTTATCGCAATTCATATTCTGTCGCAATTTTCTGTATAATTTTTGACATTAGTTTGTAAGCTGCACCGTTTATTTACGATAGTTTCGCTCGAGAGTTCACAGCAACAGTATCTCAGTCATCATCTACCTTTTGTTCAACCTTGTTTTTAGCCCGCCTTGTAAGCATTTCGCGTTGTTATTTCATTAGTTTCATTACTGTTATTTGCATTCCTTGGTAAAAGAAATGGGACGCCTTGTAACTCCGCAGACTCTCCTGATTATATCACTTTTTTTTTAGCCATTTAAATTCAGGCGCGTGTGCGGGGTTTGCTCTGGCAAATGGTGATTGGCTAGGAAGAACAATTGCCTTCTATCAAGTATTTTTCCAGCAGGGGAGGGTGGCCTTGGGCAAATGATGTATCGGTCCCTAGAGAGGTCACCCCAGGACTCCCGGGATGGAATTTTTTTGTACAGTGCCCAGGCCTCATTTTCTTGGCCGCGCGTTGATCTGGCCCGGCTGATTCGGCGAGCGTATTCTCGGTGTGTTTGGATTATATTCTTCGAGTTTGTCCAAGTCTATGGGATTCGTTTCTCTATCTGGGCAAGCTTCATTGGTTTCTATATCTGCTGCTATCCTATTTCTACGATCCTGGCATGTTTATTTTCCGTTGGAGTTCGAATTTCGTGGACAAAGTTGTGTTGAATGAGAGCATGTCGGCGAAAATGGCACCTCGTGTTTCCTACCTTGTATATTATTATTGTAGATAGAGTGAATTTGAACAAATTACTGCAAATTATCACGAAACTTCGTTGGAGCAATAAGGACAACAACAATTAACTGCAGAGTAAGTTTCATTGATCTTTATTTAGTATTTCCTAGAAATTTTAGGATGATATTTTTACCCCATACAAACACTGTAATTTTACTGGAACCGTACTGTGGTACTATCACAGAGCCTGGGTTACCTGTGATAGCGTCTCAAAATAAATTTTTAGAGAATTCCAAGCCGCTCTATATTTTCGAACGATTTTCGGGTTGTTTTGCTTAGATATTGAAAAAAAAAAAAACTTTGTCACTACCATATTACACAAAAGAGACACATTTCCTGGCAAAATGACATTCTTTATGAATTTGCGGAATATTGTGGGTTTCCTGAGACCGAAATATTTTTATTCTGAAAATTTAATCTTTGTCCTTTCCAATGAGGTATAGCTTTATATGGAATTGTAAATAACAACAGAGATATAATTTTTTAAAGTTGCATGGTCAAAAATATTGTATATTGTGTTTCTTGTCTATAGGTCCTTTGATCATGCAGTTTTAGTAGTGTCGTTTCGTCTATCCAAACTGGCAGAAAATATTTACCTGGATTTATAAAAAATATATATTTTCTTAGACCGTTGTTTCTAGTAAATTCGCAAATCACTTGAGAACTCCTTTGAAAAAGTTTGCGATATATTTGTCCAAGATTTTTAACGATCATGTACTGAAAATCGGGGAAAAGAAAGGCAAGAGAAAATTAGAAATTTCAGTATTTTAAAAATAGGGTGTGTCTAGCCAAAGTATTTAAACGAGAACATCGTATCGCCGTCTCTTCGAAACTTTTCACCCTCTACGCCAACAAAAAACCTTCAAGATTTGCTTTAATCTCGCAAGAAGTCAAGTGTGACTGTGCAGGCTGTTTTATTTTTTTTTCTTAGTTGAAAGAAAGATAAAAGCTATATCTGCATTTTTCCCATGATATATATATGAAAGTAATTTTGGTTGGCTGATTCGGCAAATGCCAATCAATCAAAAAACGTTTCATAGAAGGCTTGTATCAGGCTGTCTTTTCGTGTCGCCTTGCTCGTCAGAATCGGTTATTTACAAAGGAGAACGAAAATAGAAGCTGATCTCAGGTTAAAAGATTTCCTTCATTAACCCAAACCAGTTCCCAGGTATGTTTTAAATGAATGTCTAAATGTGTGATTTAGACAGCATGAAGAAAATTTGGAGTTAAACCACATGTTTAATATTGCCTTCGCGTCGAAAATTGAGTACCCGAACTTAAGTTTTTGTTATCAAGTCCTGAAAACCTATCGCTCATTATTGAATTATTTCAATGCGACGGGTGTCTCTATTACCCTGAAAGTATCTTCTAGGGAAAAAAGATTTCTGTTCTTATTAAAAAGTGTCCAAATTTCTCCATGCGACTTCCTTTGCGAACGCGAGGAAAGTTGAAAGTTGATGTCAGCACGTGGCTTATCGGGGAAAACACTTCCCAGAATCTAAAACATTGACTTCCTAGAATCCAAATCCCAAACACTTCCCAGAATCCAAAAACACGTCCCAGAGTCCAAAACACTGCCCAGAATCCGTGAATGCGAATCGACATTTACTTAAACATTTTAGAATCAAGTCGTCGGAGTTGAAGACTGTTTCATAGAATCGCACGTGGTTGCATCATCATTAATCACGAGGTTATCATCTACATCAATGATGAAAATCGTGATATTTCTTAGCTATTCGGTGTTCGACGAGCATCATTATGTTAAGAAACCATGAAGAAACCTTGAAACCTTTGAGTCCTCCTCTATAGCAACGTTTCGTGAGTTGATATTCAAAATACTTTAACAGTTTGTATATTTTGCAACAGATGTCGGAAGGAAAGACAAAGAAAAGTGAATCTACAGTATGAGGATCGACTCACTCAGCTGTGCGCAGTCGTTCGCGATTTCAGTGTCCAGCAATACCCAATTTTGCACAAAAGATAGTCTTAATTTGGGATTAAAACAGTAGATTGTTGATCACTACAAGCCACCGTAAGTTAGCGAATTTTAGGTGAAAAATTAGGACGGTCTGAGACTCGGACGTCGAAAACGGATCGTCTTATTTTTCTCACAAATAAAAGGCTTCTGGCGGAACAATCTACGTCAGGTGTTTTATCTTCCTAATATAAGCTATCTATGGACAAAAAAGTAAAAGAAATTGATTTTTCAACTCTTACCACGAAATTAACATTTTGTTCGATTTTTCTAGACCGTCGCTCTTAAGCCCGTTTTGTTTCCTTTGTTTAACGTCAGGTGTGAGTAATAAATTATATTACACCGGAGATGAGCCTCATTTCGCCAAATGAATCTTGATATGGACTGGTTTAGTGTTTCTGGGTTAGAAAACTTTGTATTTCGTTTTAGAATACGTTTTGACCCGGACGGTTTTTTGTTCGTTTCGAGGATGAACATATTTTTCTGTCTTCGGCTAGATATTTTGTTACATTTTGGCTTTTTATTTTAAATATTTGCAATTAGGAAGAGGTTATAAAGAATTTCATTTTATACAAAATTGTAAACGTTCATCCTAATCAGCATTTCGTTGTTTCAACCATTCAACCTCGTATTTCCCCTGAGGCGGAATTGAAAGCCCTGCCTTCAGTGAGCCGAGTTTTTACGGGTGTAGGCCACTTCCACATTTCCCGTAATGCACGTTATTTATTTTCCCCCTAAAAATTTTGCATAATTATTGTTTTCAATTTCTCTTGGGACGGCTGTATAAATACCCAGGGAAAGTAAAAACAATGGTTGTGCAAAATTTTGGGGGGCAAATAAGGTGCATTATGGGAAACGTGGAAGTGGCGTTACGGTCCTCAGAAAACGTGATGAAATTCGTGAAGTGCGTTTGTTGTGATGGAGATTCCCGTGAAATTCCAGGAAAGTGCGACCCCTTCAGCCAATTTTTAACTTCGGTCCGGATCTTGCTCCACCGTGTTTTCCCTCTGCAACTGATTTCCGCACGATTTTTATTGATCTCACAGGTTCAGAGGAATTGAGGGCTGTTTACATCTCCGGTGCAAGTCTGTTTTTGACTTGTCCTCTATTAAGCAGTTTGAGGCTTAAACTCCGTCTTTAATCATGGGATCAAGTTGTTCTATTTTGAACGATACCGAATACGATGTCTGGATCACGGACAGAATCAACTGGCCGGTTCTCATAGGAGTTTCTGCTGGTGTCTCCGCCCTGTTACTAAGTGCAGGAGTAATTGCTGCTTTTCTAGTACTCGGTCCGGAAGGTGGAGGCGAGCTCACCGCCAATATGAAAAAAGATATGAAAAATATTGTCACAGTTACCGCGGATGCTTTTCAATCGCCGTTAGGGCGCGAAGTCTTGAATTTATCAATCGAACGCCTGGCTATGGCGTTGAATATTACAGAAAAGCAAGCTGAAGATCTTCAAAACTACGTTCGAGAATTCCAAGCTGAAGCTAAGCTAATCCGCCCTGGTGAGAAGTACACATGGTCAGGCACTCTATCGCTAACTAGGAGAGTGCATGTTATGAATGAATTGCTTCAGTTTGATGACAAAGCCTGTTTTACAGGTCCTACAGCTGGTTCTGAAAACGTTTATCGGATATCAGAGCACTTCACAAGACTGGATGTCCGGAAAAGGTAA